AATTACTGGAACAGCACATCAATAGAGAAATGCCACGAAGTGCAGGCTGGGTTTAGAAGAGGCTGTGGTACTAGGGATATTGTAGCTAATGTTAGATGGATCTTGGCTGAAAGCAGAGAGTACCAGAGCAATGTCTATCTGTGTTTCATTGACTATTCAAAAGGCATTTGACTGTGGATCATGGAAATCCCAGAACACTTGATTGTGCTTATGTGAAACCTATACTTGGATCAGTAGGCAGTCATCAGAACAGAGCAAGGAAATACTGCATGGATCAAAATTGGGAAGGGTGTACAGCAGGGATCTGTCCTAATTCCATATCTTTTCAATCTATAAGCAGAACAGATCATCTGGGAGGCTGGACTCTATGAAGAAGAATGTGGCATCAAGATTGGAAGAAGACTCAACAACAATCTGCGCTATGCAGATGACACAACCCTGCTTGCTGAAACTGAGGAGTAACTTAAGAGCCTGCTGCAGAAGGCCAGGGACTGTAGCCTTATATATGAATGAGGCTCAACAACAAGAAAACAAAGATTCTCACCACGGGGTTGATTGGCAGCATCATGAAAGGCGGTAAAAAGACTGAGATTGTTAACAGCTTCAGTTTGCTTAGCTCCATAATAAACATTGTTGGTATCAGCAGCCAGGGAATCAAAAGACTAATTGCATTGGTAATGTCTGCTGTCAGGGACTACGGTAGAGTACTGCAGAGCAGCGATGTCAATCTGGAGACTAAGGTGTGCCTGATCTGGGTCATGGTCTTCATAATCACTTGCTATACATCAGAAAGCTGGACAACGACTAGGGATGATAGAAGGAGAACAGTCTTTGAGCTGTGGTGCTGGAAAAGATTACTGAATGGACTGCTAGAAAAACAAACAGATCCGTCTTGAAGAGGGTGAAACCAGGCTGTTCCTTGGAGGCAAGGCTTCTGAAGCTCTGTCTGACATACTTTGGACATGTTGCAAGGTGAGACCAGTCCATGAAGAGGGACATCATGCTAGGGAAGATGGAAGGACAGCGCAAGAGAGGAAAACGCTGGATGAGATGGACTGACACAGTGACTGGCGTAGGGAGGTTAGCTGTGTCAGAGATGATAAGGTTGGTGCAGGATAGAGCAGAGTTCAGAACTGTAATGCATAGTGTCGCTATGAGTCACAAGTCACAAGTGACTTAAGGGCATATAACAACAGGGCCCCATACACAGACAAGTACTACATTTTCCTACAGTCAAGTTCCTCAAAACACAAAGATGCTTTTACAGCGATTTCAATGTACTATTTTAAAGTTTATAAAAACTACTATCTTTCAGCACTGGAAAAGTACCAGGGCCTAGGAAATAGGCCTCTGGGGCCATTTGCATTTTTTACAGGAACATTAAGTTGGAAGACATTTTAGCTCTGCCACTCTTTATAGGATTTTCAAAAACAGGCTAGGTTTTCAAGGACTTAAACTCTAATTTCATTTAAAAAATTAAAAATTACTATCAAATTAATTGCTTTAAAAACTTTTAAAACACATTTCAAGGTCTCAAACCAAAGAAGGCTATTAAGTGTCAACTCCTTTAAAACATCTCATTTCCTCTCTTCTGTTCCCCACACACACAAATATCATTCATAAACTTATATTAGGTTTCCGTAAGTTACATTCATTTTAAAAGTGATTTGTATGAGACTAAAACAAAGAAGATACCGGGTAAACCTCAGACTAAGAATAGTGATTATCTCTGATATAGAATGGGTGGTAATCTTGTTTAAATATTTGCTACTGAATAAAAACAATTATTTTAAGACGTGAGTTTATATAATTATCACTAAAGAAGACAGGTATAGGTATATATAAACACAGGTAAATCTAACCTCCTCTTCAGAAGCAGTTGTTTATTATTATTATTATTATTATTATTATTATTATTATTATTATTTCAGAAGCAGTATGAGGCACAGTAAATGGTCCTTCTAGGTAGTCTATGAAATGCCCACAAAGGAACTGTATAACTTGCCAATAATGTAAATAGGGAGCTCTGGTAGCCTAGTGGTTAGAAGCTATGTTGCAATCCAGAAGGTATGGGGTTCATCTCCACCTGCTGCTCTGTGGGAGAAGGATGGGCACTCTCTTCTCACGACATTAACTCCCACTGAAAACCTGCCAGAGGGCCAGCTATGGGTGAATTCTGACTCAACGGTACAGGGCAAATGTAAATATGGTTCATGGTTTCCGTGGGGGGGGGAACGACATAAATAAAGTATATGGAGCTGTAATGAGAGGATTGATCGTCTTTGCTACCCTACTAGGGTTCAAATGAACCATCCCAGAGGCATCTCACAATCATGAAGAAAGATGAGTCAGGAGTAGAGTATGACTTTTGGATAAAATATCCCTATAATAAGAACTTCCTAGAGTGAAGACAAAGAAAGCTGTAATGATAAGAAGCATCAGCAGAGAAATGACAGCAGCAGGACGAGGAGTATAGCATGAAATGGAACAGCGGGCTTCCCGCCCCATGGAATGAGAAAACTGAGCACCCTCAGACAGGAGGCTTGCTAACAGAGTGGGGTGCCTTTGGGAACTTACGAGCAGAGCTAAGGAGCTTGTCAGCACTTGTTCAAGCAGAACAGAAGCTGAAAGGCCATCAAGCCAAGAAGTCAGGGACCAGAGAGATCCCTACCTATAGGTGAGAATCAGCATTCTTAACTAAGGAATCTATCCAGAGCCAATTCTTATGCTAAATTATAACCTTTACTTGCCTAATAAAGCTCATAATAATGTTGTCTATGAGTTCTATTTTTTTGAGGCTACTGATCTTGATTCCCATTCCCCATTGTGAAGCTGGAAGAAGTCAGACGCTGCCCTAACGCCATTTGTCTGCAGTGTTACTGAACAAGAAGTAAAAGGATTAAATGTACTTAGTCTGTTCAGTAGCCTGTTTTCCCATTTAACAGCAAATGACGGCGGGGGGGAATGTGTTTCTACGCACCGCATTAACAATTTTAGGAGAAACATCATTTTTCTAAAGTTCTAAAGCTATATGCCCCATTTTCCCCATTCTGTATTCCAGTCTTCACATTGTTTGCTTTTTTAAAAAACAAAACTACTTTTCCTCAGCTTCTCTGTAATCCTTTCACCCTTTGATGCAAAATAGCTTACTCTCCTCTTCTCTAAGAAAAGGGAAAAAAAATAAAAATGGGTTATGCTTCTTTAAATGAAAGGCAACAATACTTATTTACGCTACCAAAAAAGACTATAAAATCAAGTTAAATATTTTGGAAAACCTTTTCATTTTGCCTTTTTGGTTATTTCCAATAAGATCCAAGAGGATCTTTAAGTCAGGCATGAGAAAAAGACCTTAATACCTTTTAACCTCTCTTCAATTCTACATTATCTATTTTGCTTTCAGTACAGTGGTAGGAATGTCTTTGGTTCTTTAGTTTGATTTTGTTGAGATACTTAAGGCATTTAATTTTATAAGGAAAAATCTAGCCTGAAGAGTCCTGTCCTCAATATATTTCAAAAAGCCAAAACCATATATTACCTGTAGTTTGGCCAATACAGGAAATGAAAAGCTATTTGCTTTTCTAGTGAGATTTTACCAGGTGTTCTTAAGTTAATTGATTGTCTTACACTGATCAGATACATATCTCTGACAAAAATAAAAAATTAATCATAATTTCTTAGCATATATGATATGCGAAAGCACTCAGAATTTATAATGTTCGTGAGGCTAAACAAAATTTATCTTTTACTACTGGGGCTTATTTTTTTAATTGGTATTTTAAAAACAACTGAGCCAGGAGCCACTGATTACCAGTGGCATTATCATGACTATTAGAAACCACAGAGAATACTGATTTCCTAAATACATTAAAAATTTTCAGGTCAACTTTAAATTATCCTTGTTTTCCCTCCTGACCAGTTCAGTTCCCTGTTCTTCATGTATCATTGTTTTAAAAAAACAAAACTACACAAAAACTAGAAGCTATGGAAGATATCTAGGCTGCTCCTTGGAGGCAAGGATTCTGAAGCCTCATCTGACATACTTCGGGCATGTTGCAAGGAGAGACTGTCCTTAGAGAGGGACATCATGCTTGGGATGGTGGAGGGATAGCGCAGGAGAGGAAGACCCTCTATGAGATGGATCGATTCAGTGACTGGGATAATAGGAGTGGGTGTGGCAGAGACAGTGAGGTTGGCACAGGATAGAGCAGGGGTTAGGGCTCTTGTACATAGGGTCAACAGTACAAGGCAATAACAACAAAGGAAGAAATTAACAAGGGTCATGTGCTTTCACATCACACCTTCTTCCAAGCTAAAGGCACATGGACTTAATCTCTTTTCTACAGTTTCCTACTCTTACTAAAAATGAAAATGAATCCCTCACCAAATGACTGTCCTTGCAGAATTAAATATTTCAGAAGTCTAAAGAAAGCCAAACTAAAAAGGAAGGCCTTAAACCAGTAACCTTTAAAAACAAATTAAGTCACTCTTAAAAATAATCCCCTTTGGACATACACAGACAGCCAGGGGAACAGGTGCAGGGCATGCCTTCCTAGAAGCTGTCTCCTCCTTCAGGAATCTGACCTTTTCCAGCCAGCAACTCTGGCACCCCACAAATCAGTTATCAGTAGGTCTCATGCCTGCTTTCCCATCTGCACTTTCCAAATGGCTCCCGATGCCAAGGGCTGAGATATGACCTGGCTCTCTGATGAGAGAACATGCCTCCCAAGTTGCTTGCCAAGTTTCCCTGGAAGCATTTCTAAATGTATTCTCTAACTTCCGTCTGCAACTTCGCAATCACAGTTCATCCTACCTTCCTTAGAGGCACTTTCTAATTTCCATCTCTTCATTCTGTCCCTCCAAGGCCAAATGTTTTCAGTTCAAAGTCCTCACCAACTTTCAAGAACCCACCCTATGTTTTCCCTAAAATCCCAAATTCAGATCCAAAGGACAAAGTTCCAGAGATTCTGGAACTGGTTTGAGGTAATCGTTCTGAGGCCTACCTGCAGGTAGTTCCATGACAGCTTCTTCTCTTGCCTTCTCCAGCTTCTCCCTCACCCAGGGAAACTCCTGCAGGGAATCTAGGAATGTGTCAAATGCTTTAGGTCCCCTGGAAGGTAGAATATCAAGGAGCAGCATTGTTTTCCGGAGGCCTGTGGCTTGAGCTTTGATTTCTTGAATGTGGTTCTCTGTTAAGATCCCCTCCTGGTAAAGGTACTGAAGAACCAGTCCCTCCACCAGGACCTCTGCACCCAGCTCCAGGCGAAGCGAGCGAAGCACTTGCTTGTCTCTAGCCTCCATCTCCTCCTGGAAAGAGACAAAACCATAACTCCAATTATAGGACTACAGATGAGCTCCAAATCATAGGGTTGATGGTCAAGGAATCATTGAATTTTAGCAAAGTGATAGGCCAGGCTGTTCAACACACGAACATTAAACCAAACCAACTATTTTTTATTATTTACGTAAAGAAATGAATAAAACTGGCATCATCTTTTCTCAGTTTGGGGGCCAGTCCTTGTGTGAAAGGACAAGCATACTTCCTTGTTTAATAAAGACACTGGACCATGTGGGCAGGAAGTCAGAACTGCTCAAAAGTGCATATGCTTTTTTTTTTTTTTTGAGAATTAGAGAGGCATTCATTTTAACAGTGGAAGAAACAGTGGTTTTCTTTAACCACTTAAATTTAACAATGAAGAAACTGTGGGTTTTAAGATTGTGTTTATCAGATCCTGTCCCACCTCGTCCTTTTCCTCCACCACATCTAAGCGATAGAGACAGGTGCCATTTTTACTACGGGCACTTGCGGAGCCTGATTAACGGTGGGATGGGCAACAGCAGATTCCAAGAAGTTTAAGACTCTTTTTTATAGAGACAAAACGCCTCTACACCACCTTCGTAAAAAAAAAATTAATTAATAATAATAATATTGTGTGTGCTCAGTCTACATTAAACCTCACAGTCTCTTTACTTCTAACAATTCAGAATTTTCATCACAACACTGCCATAAACCACACATGTAAGGGGCTATTTAAGGAGATCCTTCCTCTTTAAAAAGAAAAAAAGGCCACATTTTGGCCCTTGTTATCAGCCACGATCGGCATGGGGTCCCATTTCCAAGACTCCAGTAGCAGTGAGCTGTGAAGACGATGACAATTCCTGACACTTACAGAGGGACAAGTGGCGGGGAAGGAACTTGGAGCTGCAGGTCGAGTTTTAAACAAACAGCAGAGTAAAACCTAAGCCCTCCTCGCAGTCTTTGGTAAAGTCCCAGAGGTGGCAGGTCAGAGCCAGGCTGTGCACATTTGCCAAAAACAGAGGATTGGAACTTTTGTTATTTCCTGCCTCGCGAGCCTTGTTGTATGACGAACAGCAGGAATCACGAGAGATTTTCGGAGCAATTTGATCCACTAAAAAGAGCTGAGAAGACTGATTTTCAAAGAGGACTGAAAGGAGAGCGGATCCGGTTATTACGACCGCCACCCCCACCCCGGCTGTCACCAAAACCCCAGCGAGCAAGTGAAAGGAGTGAGAGCGCCACGCAGGGAGCTGGCTGCAGACGCCAGGGCGCGGAGACTTCCGAGACTTCCAGGGAAGGTGGAATCGGAGTTTCTGCTTTGCTGTTACTTACGTCTGTAACCACGTATCTTTATTTAAAAAAAAAAAAAAAAAAATGCATCCGGAATCCAGAGTTAAGGAACCAGTACCTTAGGCACCATCTTTGTTGAAGGCGAAAGTACTTAACAGGAAGTAATGTCGCCATCTCTGTTAAGGGCAAACAAAGGTTGTGCTGTAAACTATGTTTACTAGGGCCCCAAAGGCCCAAATGAAGCCATTTCCGCCATGTTTGTTGTGGGTAAACAACACACCCTTCTGGAGGTGGATGATCGTAATATGGGGGGGGGGGCGTTATTTAAGTAAGGCAATTGTATAAATACATTTTAATGCAGTAACTCCACCAAGGTTTTAACACGGTTTACATAATAGACAGATCTCTCTCTAATCACCAAGGCTTCTTTCCCTTAGAGCTATTTAAAATTGCAACAAATTACAGCCACATTCACCCCTTCACAGCAAAATACTATTTTCTACATCTGTGCTTACCTATAGCAATTACTCAACAACTCTGTCCTGGAGAAGGTGAAACCGAGCTGCTCCTTGGAGGCCAGGATTCTGAAGCTCCATCTCACATTCTTTGGGCATTTTTCCAGGAAGGACCAGTCCTTGGTGAAGGGCATCCTTGGAAGGATAGAGGGAGGGACAATGCCAGAGATGGATTGACAAAGTGACTGGAGTAATGGGTTAATTGTGCCTGAGACAATGAAATTGATTCAAGATAGGGCAGGGTTCATAGCTATTGTCCATAGGGTAGCAACAAGAATAATAATTACTACCATGAACAATAAGAATAGCAATTACCACCATTCCTAAAAGTTCTTTTTTTTTCCTTTGCTTATCTCTGTTCACTAAAATACAAGGACATTTCTTCACAAGGTTCCTGCGCACAAAAATTTTACAAGTGACTCAGGATATTCAGTTGCAGCCATTAACAAGCTACTCAAAGCAGAAAGGAGTTTGCCATGGGGGATTTGTTAGGTGGCAGGGCAGTTAATATAAATCTTGCAACTTCTAAATATTGGAAGCAAACCTAGGCTCACCTTGAATCTTCCTCTAAAGAGCCCATATCTGATTGGACATTGAGGGTTGGTGGTAGGAAAGGTGTTGTTGTTAGGTGTCTTCGAGTTCAGTGTGACTCGTAAGGACCCTATCAGCAACAAATCTGAGCCTATCTTGTGCCATTCTAATCATCTCTGATACACATAGGCCAAGTGACTACAGAGTCACTGTGTCAATCCACCTTGCTGGGGATCTTCCTTTCTTTTCCTGACCCTCCACATTTCCAAGGACAATATCATTTTGGAGAAAGTACAGCCAAAGTGACTCCTTGGAGACAAAGATGACAAAGCTTGGTCTCAAATACTTTCAGTATGCTGTTGTTGTTATTGTTCTTAGGTGCCATCGAGTCAAGTACAACTCATAGTGCCCCAATGAACAGCAGATCTGAACCCCATCCTATCCTGTGCCATCTCCACACTTCCTGACACACTAGAGTTCATTGCGGCAGTCACTGTGTCAATCCACCTAGTTGATGGTCTTTCTCTCTTTCACGGACCCTCCACTGTTCCAAGCATCATGTCCCTTTCTAAGGAATAGACCCTCCTAGAAATATGTCTGAAGTATGTGAGGTGAAGCCTCATTATCCTTGCCTCCAAAGAGCACTCCGGCTGCACCCTCTATAAGACATATTTGTTTGTTCTTTTGGCAGTCCATGGTATGTATGTTCAGTGCTTTTCTCCAACACCACAGCTCAAAGGCATCTTCTTCTGTCATCCCTAGTCATTGTTCAGCTCTCAGATGCGTAGCAACTGACCAGAAAAACCATGGCCTGAATCAGACACACATTAGTCCTCAATAATTTGAAGAGGTCCCTAACTGCAAAATTTCCCAATGCAATGTGTCTCCTTATTTCCTGACTGCTGGTACTAAGGGTGTTAATTGTGGATCCAAGTACGATGAAACTGTTGACAGCTTCAATCTCTGCTCTATCCACCATGATGTTGTCTATCAGTCCAGTGGTAAGAATCTTTGTTTTCTTGACATTGAGATGCATGCATTCAGTTGCATTCTTTGATCTTCTGGGAAAAAGTGCTTCAAGTCCTCCTCACTTTCAGCAAGCAAAGTTTTGTCATCTGTATAACACTGTTACTCTCATTACTCCAGTCACTGAATCAATCCATCTCATCAAGGGTCTTCCTCTCTTGTGCTGTCTGTCCCTCAACCTCCCAAACATGATATCTCTCTCCAAGGACCAGTCCCTCCTTGCAACATGTCCAAAGTATGTCACACGAAGCTTCAAAATCCTTGCCTCCAAGGAGCAGACTGGTTTAACTTTTTTCATGACAAACCTGTTGATTTTCTTAGCAGTCCATGGTATATTCAATACTTTGTTCAACACCACAGCTCAAAGACATCAATTCTCCTTCTATCATCTGTAGTCATTGTCTAGCTCTCTGACACTAGCAAGTGATTGCAAAGAACATGGACTAAAACTAAGTACACCTTAGTCTCCAGACTGAC